ACATCAAGCAGAGATCCTCAACAAGATCAATGCAAACCAAAATTGCTTTCCTAAAACAGGCACCTACAAAAACCCTACAGCTGGCACCATACCTGATGGTGGAAGATCAGGAGCCAAAGACAGCCAGTGTCACCACTGTCAACATTGCACTGCAGGCTCTAGTGAGGCACTCATACAAGAAAATGAAAGAATGGCTATTCCAACTGGAAAGACGCAAAGTAAAACTGTCTATTTGCAGCTAAAATAATCTGATATGTGGAAATCCTAAAGAATTCACTAAAAAACCCATAAAACTAATAAATATGGGCTGGGGATATACTCCAGTGGTAGAGCACTTGCCTAGCATGCACAAAGCACTGGGTTCCATTCCCCAGTACTGAAAAAAAAAAAAAACCTCATAATAAATAAATCAAAATTAAGGGCACAGATGTAATGATCTGAATACAAAAGCAAATTGTATTTCTATCCAGTAGCAGTGAGCAAACAGAAACTATGATGAAAACATTCCATTCACAATGGAATCAGAGAATAAAGTGCTTACGAATGAACCTGACAAACTCTGAAAACTACAAAGCACTGTTTAAAGAAATGAAACGTCAAGCTCACAGACAGGAAAGCGCTCATTAAAATGCAGCATTCCCCAAACCGGGTAACACAACCCCTCAGAACACTCGTTGGCTTCTTTGCAGAAGTTAACAAGCTGATCTGAAAAGTCATACGGAACCTCAAACAATCCCAGAACACCTAAAACATTCTCGAAAAAGAACCAAGTTGGATGATTTCTACTTCCTGATTTCAAAACTCACCACAAGACAAAGTGACGAGGGCATGGCAGGCGCACTAGCCCCGCAGATCAATGGCTTAGAAGCGAGTTCAGCCAGGGGCGGAAGGAAAGGGCCTTCCATTTCTGCTCTGGTGTAAGTGGACAGCCACACAGGAAGGATGAACATGGACCCTCACTTCACACAATGTACAAATAACTCAGAGGTGCTGAAAAGTAAACGAGGCCACCCAAACTACGAAACTCACAGAAGGAAACACTGGGGTCAATCCCAAGACCTAGAACTTTGCCATGGGTTGTTAGACACCAAACCACAAATAAGCAAGGCTCTTCTGACGGTGCCCGTGTGGGTGGCACGACCCCTTCCCACCCCACCCCCAGGGGCAGTGGTGGTATTTGGTAAGGGCGGGGGCCGCTCGAGGCCTCTGAGTAGGATTAACTGTGTGGTGGGGGACCCTATCTAAAGGCAGCAGATCCTTGTTGGGGACCTGGGACGTGCAAAGCATTTCATGGTGGGGGCCAAGTAGCAGAACAGGAGTCACAATCCCACACATTTCCAGCAGTTCTCCAGAAGGCAAAGCTTTGGAGATGTGAAAGTAGAATTTGAGATCTATAAATAGCAAGCGATCCTGAGAGGACGGGTGCCTTCCTGCCAAGTCAAATAGGACAGCTCTGGCCCCTTTGTTTTCCATGAGGAGGGCCCTGGTTTTGCCCTTCACAAAGCCGGTGGCCTCTTATTGCTGTAGGACAGTGACTTGAGACAGGACAGCTTCCTTCTCAGTCAGGCGAAGGAAATGAGTCCTGACTTAAAGCCACGGAGCCAGGGGGTCGGCAGCCGGGCTGGATGGAGAAGGAAGCCCTTTTCAACACTTCTCAACGCCAGCTTGCAGACAGATCCTGGGGGGGAGTCCCGTGGAAACCGGGGTTCAGATTCGGTGGGTCTTGATGGGGCAGGAGACACTGCACTTGCAACAGGCCTCGGATTTCAAGGACAACAGTCCGGTAGATTAGGCTGGCTGGCCCTCCCTGTGTGCTTTGGCAATGCAGAGAGATTTTCACGGCATATTGAGCAAAAGAAATGGTTCTTACCTCCAAAAAAAAAAAAAAATCTTAAAACTGCTCTCAAGCAAGAACAAAAAGCTAAGATTTCAGGACGGGTGTCGTCCTCTCCAGTTTTTCTTCTCCACAGTCCCCCGTAGGTGACAGGTGGGGTGTGTGCTGGCCACTAGGGTTGGAGCTTATTTGCCTCTGTGACTTGGCTTTTCTCAGAAGCTATCACCTGTCTTGACCCCAGGAACATTTATACTCTCTGATATCTTAAACATCAGACCAAAAACCAACTCCCAGCACCTTTCTGGTTCACTCCGGTCTCGGGGTTCTGGGAGTCGGTGCTCTGGGCAGCTCCATGGATGGTGTTTTCCCAAAAGGGTGCAGGGCGTCCCTTTAGCGCAGTGTGTGAGATGTTTGCTAACCACACACGTCCTAGTGCTGTCAGTGTGCTGTGCTCTTGCTGTGAGAATTCCTTTGGGAACAGAAGCTTTATCTTCCCGGGGCCTAGATTTGCTTCGGGGTACGTCCACCAGCTTTGCATGGGTCTGGCATGGAGAAGGGGCCCCTGTGTGGCATCCTTGCCCCTTCCTCTACCCTAGGATGGAAGTGGGCAGAGGGCAACCAACAGCCCGCTGGCACCTGCTCCAAATGTGTTTCCTTATAACCGGAATGACTTGTGTGGCAAGGTGCAGCTTCCTCTGGTGAAGTGTTGCTTGGTTTTCTCAATGACACTTACTAGGACAGCTCCAGATGTGACAAAAGGGCAATTATCACACCAGGCATGATTTTCCAAATATCAAGCCTAGCCTGGGTAAATTCCTTTCAAAAGTAGGCAAACTGAAATTTGGTTCTGAGCCCAGCCCTTAACAAGAGGTGACCAGGTTGGAAGTGGTGGGGTGACTACAACATGAGGATTTTACAAGAAATGTTTTCCTTCCTTAATTTTTAAAATTTTTTTGAGATAGGGTCTTGCTATGTAGCCCAGATTGGACTCTAACCCTTGATCCTCCTGCCACAGCCTCCTGAGTGCTGGGATTACAGGTGTGTACCACCACACTTGGCAGGAAGACACACTTCTTCCTCTAAAGCCTCTGATCTCATAAGGCACCCAACTGACAGGCTGTTTCCACTGTGTGCACAGTTGCGTAACTAGCCTTAGGGTTGTGAGAGTAGAGCAGGTAAAATAGAAAAAGAGAGCCCTTATCCTTCCGGTTCCCATACTTGAAGCCAAGGAACAAAATTAATAAACATGGCAACACAGTAAGTTCCAACTGGTCCGTCAGCGATCCAAGGCTTTTGACGCCCATGGTGAGAGAAAATGTCATAGAGGAGGGAGGTGAAAACTGAACCTGACAAGATGGACAGGCCGTGTGCAATGCACAGACATGGGTGAAAACATGGGCTTCACGGACCTACGGACAGACGGTGGGGACAGGCTGAGCGGGCCAGGTGAGCATGCATGAGACTCAGCTCACCCAATGGCAGTGGGAAGCCAGAGGAGCTTGGTGATCTTCCGATCTTACCTGGAAAACTCAGGGGGCTTCAGGGATTAGTACCCAATTTTTAAGATAAAAGGAGACACTCCTGAAGAAGCAAGACCCGTTGGCACTCAGCATACTAAGGAGCCAATCTGGTTATCGCAAATCGGTTCTCTGGTCTTTGCTCTGCTACTGCCTCATTGGTATTGAGAGAAACCTCGCCATGATTTCCCCATGTGGCAAGGGAGACAGTCGAGATTATTTCTAAAGCTCTGAATAAATGACTCCAGGTCTATATGCACTGTCCTCATCCTCCTTGAATTTCTCTGCAACAGTGAGAAAAAGAGAAACCTGTTACTAGTCCACAGTGATACTGGAATGAGTTTTATTTACATTTATAGATTTGCTCTCAGTCTGTGTGCATCCCAAAGTGGTAATTTGCATGCTGGGCATCACATGACTTATTCACTGAACCTCTGTTTTAAAAAAGTACATATAACTGAATTTCTTGGACTACCCAAATAATTTTGTAATTCTTTTTCAACATCACAGATGAAAAATTTAAAAGAAGATATAATAAAACCGTAGTAAAATATCTAGAAACACACTCTTGAATGTCACAGTGGTAACATCACTGATTTGACCTTTGCTTTTTTCTAAGGAAATTCAATGCTGTCACTGAAATCCTTTTAAAAGAAACTGCATCCATAAAAAGAAAAATTTATTGTTTTCTTTCTTCTTTGAATGGGTAACTTGAAGAGATTACTTTTCTAAAAGCAGAAGAAAATGCTCATAAAAACAGAAGTACTTGGTAAGTTTTGCAACCAATCCTATGGTTCTGATGGAGTACAGTGAGTAGAAAACCTCAGTTCTTGTTTTTGCTCCCCAAAAACTGTGACAGCAAAGATTACTTATCTGATCTGACTTTTCCTTTGAAATACTTATCTCCACTATGATCGTGCTTAGGTTATTTCCTGCCAGGCACCTGAGGGTGGGGCTGTCTTCACAGCCGCAAGACACAGCTCTGCACAGTCCCTGAAGGAGCGCACACCATCTGTAAATCCCCCGTGTCCTTCCCATCTTAATGAATTTAGTTTGGATTCTCAAAGATCCACTGTTCCCCTTCAGTTTAATTTCTAGCCTTCTACTGCTCATTAGTATTCTAAATGAGAACAGGTCTCAACCCAGCTAGAACAGAAACAGTGTAGTCATCCAGAGCTGGAGAGGTGTAGACACAAAGCGCTCTCAGGTAGCGTTTGCTGTTGTGGCCAAGTCCTGCTTCTTGAAGTGATGGCTGGCATGGGATGGGGGACAACTAGTTAAAACCCTAGGTAAAGGCAAATCAAATGGAAAAGTGATTTCTAAACGGAGTTTCATTATGAGCTGTTTTACAGAGGAGAAAGACAATGAAGTTTTGCTGGGGACCTGCTACAGAGCCCACGACACACCATGGCTGTGCATGTCAGTCTCACCAAGACAACTTCAGCAACCTGGGAGATGAACACACAGGTAGCTCCTGTGATCGAAGTCACAGCTCACCATAGTGCATCCTGTTACAATGAACATCTTAGCTTACTTTGGAAAACCATTTAATTTATTTTGAGCAACAGCATATACAACCCAACAGACACAATGAGCTAATTGGCAACTCCTTGAAGTGTTAGGGAATTTTTATATTGTGCTCGGCATTAGATGGTAACCTCAAGAGGGAGGTTATCAAGAACTGTGCTCTTCTGGCACCAGTCGTGGGAAGCACTGAATTCATTCCACTTCATATGTTTATTGTTCACCATCCATTTCCACTTACAATCTTTACATCTGAGCCTCTGGGCACTATTTCTGTTAAGTAAGATAGGAGGCATTGTTTAAAATAATTTTCTATTAACTATAAAAGTACACTCAGATAAAAACTCTGTAAAAGCATTTTCTTTTACAAGAAAGGCATCAAATAATCAGGGAACTTTATTTTTAAACCATAAATCAAACAGACACAGCATTCATTTACCCAAACATGCACAGTCCACCCTGAATATAAAATGCACTCAATTGGTAAAATACACATGAAATACAAAGGGAATGCAGTTTTACATGTGAAACGATTGCCAGCTACAGCAATTTAACAGTCGAATTAATTCAGACATTGTACATTTAAAAAACAAAACCAAAAAACACCTTTAAGCCAATTATCTACAGAAAACCAAGGGAAATTCTGACATGGAATGATCTGATCAAAAGCAAAGAATAAGGCACCTGCTATAAATTTAGAGCAATAACTTTCATTTTTAAAGTTACAATAAAGTAGAATTCATTAGCCAAGATGTTTCAAAGAGGGAAACAAGTCCAGGGGCCGACTGACTGTGTGAAAGGGGCAGGTCACGATTCTGTAAAAACCTGCTGGCCGGAGGCAATGGACGTCTTCCTGTTACAGCAGTTCAGTTCCTCTCTGTCCTAGCCTGCTGCTCTCCTCAGTAGCTGAGGGGGTAGCACATCCCGTGAGGGTCGCACCCTGTATAGACGGCGTAGATTCCCTTCTGCTCCTCTTAAAACAGCTTATTTCTAAAGACAGATCCTGAGGCAGTTAAAGCAAACAGAGCAGTCTTTCCGTCATCCATTAATACAGACACTGTTCAGGCTTTTTGCACCAAGTTATGACTGTGTATACAAATACCTGCAGTTTTCAACAGCACTGCAAAACCCAAAACCTGCCTTACCACTCTCACCCTTACTATTAAAGAAAATGTGATCAATCATAATCATTATGTTCATTTATATTGAACATAAATGGGATCAAATGTAATCATAAAATCATACAAAGGAAGACTAAAGACTGATTCCTATCAATAAATCCACTTAATTCCAGAAACCACGTTAACCTGATGAATCTAGAACCCTCAGGGCATTTCGGTCATAAATCTAGAAGCACACTGACAAACTAAGTGTAACTTTCAGTTGCTGTGCCTTTTTTTGGTATTGAAAGTGCTATCAAGATGCTGAGATATCTTACGGCACACGGGACAAGAGTCCTGATGAGGTGTCCGTTTCTGGTAAGATTTTCCCCTAGAATTTTGTCTAGCCCAGCAACCCCTTTGATGTATTAAACTAATTCTGATTAAATCAATGTGACATAAACAAACCCTCCTTTCCTGACTTCACTCCACCATGGTAGCTCTTGGTGAAACCGCAGTGACGGATTAAGTTACCAAATGCTCAACCAAGTTTTTTTGCTTGGTTTTTTGCAAATGGGATTTAGGTTACTATACTTACTCATGCGAAATCCAAGGTAGTGTAATAAAAACAATATTGTTAAAACAGATGTGGCTATAAGCATCTCTGCTTATATTATGATTTAGAAGCTTTTAAAAACTTCTAGGTGATAATGGTTGTGGTAAAACTAGGCCAACTGTGCAGCTGCTCCATTGGTAAGCACCTTATTAAGGACGTTACTTGACCCTATAATGGAGTGTGCTTTCAATTCAAAAGAGTAACAGAGTGCCTAGCTATATAAAAACCTTAAGATTCCAAATTTTAAATTAAGCTAATTGCATTTACACATTAGAGTTAACAAAATCTAGACCCTGACTGCACAGACTTAATTATCCATACTGCATATGGTTTTAACAACCACATGAAGAACTTGCTCTTGACTGACTGAATAAGCAGGGTCCACTACTGACTGGAGCTTAGCATCAGACTTTATTGCTTTATTCCTGTGGCGCTTTTGCAAGGCACTGTGGTACGGACTAGAAAAACCTGGAATGACTTGTGAAGAAACCTTGGAATGACACATGAAGGGTGACATGAAAGTCATTCTGAGGCAGGATGCTTTACTGAATTTTGAACCAGGGTATCAAACATCAGGAATGAGTTCAAGTTAAAATTCACAGGAGAATGGAAGCATCTTAAGGCCAGTCACGTCACTTCACATGCCCATCCTGATACTCTGAATAATCTGGAAAATTGCTGTAAAGAGAAAAAACAGACATTAGAAAAAGCTTTGAACAGAACAGGCCTGGGGACTGAAAACATCTATGGAAGCAGTTGAAGAACCCAAGGTTTCTTGCGATCATCTGCAAATGCTAATCTAACGCAACTGTAGTAAACATTCATTATTCGTAAGTGCCTCTAAGTTACTATTTTGTGGTGCTGTGGAGGGCTCCGAGGCAAGCGCTCTACCACTGAGCGACATTCCCAGCACAGCTTCCTTTAACTTCCATGTGTGAGTCCAAGCAGGAGAGCTTCCAGATAGGGAATGACTTTAGAAAGGACTTAAAGCACCAAAGCAAACAGGTTTTTCTACCACAGGATTATTTTGGTTTATCCCTAAATAATTACGCATCCTTCTAAAGCCTGCCGTCTAGTATGTGCATGGCTCCTGATTCCCACAAAGCTGAAATTCAATCATCTTTGGGTTACATAAACTAATTGGTTCATGGCCAATTTGTCAGGAATGCTTCCAATTGGTAGCTCAGAAAGGTAAAAAGCGGAATGCTACAGAAATCCCTAACTTTAGTCACTTGTTTAGGAAAGATACTCCCAAACAAGGTCCTCAGCACTAACAGCTTGGTTATTGGAAAGGCCCTGTGTTAGGACGTTTGCAGAAGCAAGGGTCTAGCTCTAACAGCAGGCTGCCTCCAGCAGTTTTCTTGCCGTATGTCAAATATTTCTCTTCCATACCTAAGAACATTTGTCCCACACATTAAATTGCCTATCAGGTACATTCCCCGTACTGATTATAAATTCTTTGGACTAGCCTTATTTTATAAAATACACCCAATTTTTGACATAAAGACACAGTTACACGGGGCTCTAACAACCCCCATGCACTGAGGGCCCGAGTTTCCTGCAAAGGCACTAATAATGGGGACGCAAAACACTGGGAACTCTCATTTCTGTTCGATCCTCAATTTCCTCAAGTGGATCACAAGCAGGATTCTGACCTCTTTTCTGATCCCCTGTGGGCACAAATCAAGGGGAGGGGAACGGTGGTTCTGGGGCTCCACCCTCTGCGCCTGTGTGGGACAAGTCCGTGGGTGGAGGGGAAGGGGTCACCCCGAGGCTGGCCCCGCACCCCCCTCCCCGCCCAGTGCTGGACAGGTCACTGGGTTGGGATGAGTCTCAGCAGGTGGACTAGGGACCACGCGGGCGGGGGTCAGCATGGACCCCAAGCCCTGACCCCGCACCCCCCCACCTCCCCTCCCCCCCCCAGCACTCACCCGAGCCGCAGACGACAAAAATGAAGAGCGCCAGCAGCCAGGGTCCCACGGACGCCTTCTCCTCGGGGGCGTTTCTCTGCAAACGGGAGGAGCCGGGGTTCAGATGCACGGGGACCCCGTGCCCCCGCCCGGCCCGCACCCCGGGCCCCGCCGCCCCCCTTACCGAGGTCTTGGCGACGTTGCCGCGCTGCGTGATGTTCTTGCTGTGCTTCTCGTTGGCCATCCGGATCCGCTGCTTGGCGACCATGTTCGCGGCGCCACCGCCCGCCGGGCGCCCTCGGCCCCGCTCGCTCTCTCGCTCGCTCGCTCGCTCGCTCTCTCTCACTTCGCTCGCTCGCTCGCCTCCCCCACCCCGGGGCCGCCCGAGCAAGGAGGCTGTCGCCGAGCCAGGTGGGGGCCGCGGCCGCGCGGCTGAGCGTTCCGAGTGACCGTGTGAGCGAGGCGCGTAGAGACCAGGCCTGCGGGCCACGCTCGCGCCGGGAGCGTGGAGCGAAAGAGGAAGGAGACGCAACAACTGGACAGTGCGGGCCGCAGCCTCGAACTACTTAGGGCTCGGTTGCCAACGTCAGCACTGGGAGGGCTCCGCCCCGCGGAAGTGCGGACCCCGCCCGCGGGAGGTCGGGAGCTGCCGCCTGCGCGCCCGCTCTGTCCAGCGCAGCCTCGGAACTGCGCGTGCGCGCCGCGCGACCGGAAGTGAGTCGGCCCCGAGGCCCGTGACCCCCGGAAGCAGTTCCTCGCGGTCTCCACGCCTGAGGAGACGTGTAGGGGCCGGGTTCGGCTCTCGTTGAACTCTCACCCGGAGCGCAGGGGTTTCTTCTTCCGGGACAAGATGGCGCCGTCCACGCCGCTGTTGACAGGTGAGTCCCGAACGAGCGAGTGACTCTTCGGAGTACTTTGTTCTTGCGTCTTTGTCCGTGAGAGCCACAGACCAGCCTGGGAGTCTGACCCTCCCTTCCTTGTGACTTGCGGAGGGGCCAGGTCTCCTTTTGGTTTTCTCGAGTCTGGTGTGGCGATCGGAAGCAAGGCCTCGGACTCTGGGACCCCCACCTCCCGTTCCGCCATCCGTCATTCCTCCCTGCTGTCTCTTCTCCCGCGGGAATGGGAGCGGGGGCGGGAACGGGTTGGGTTTGTGAGCCCCGGTCTGCCATGCCACACTGCAGCGGCGTGGGCCCTTACGTCACTGGCACCGGGTCACGTGGGAAGGTGACCACGCGGTGGCCCACACTGAGGGCAGCTGGGCTCGGTCGCAGCCCTGCTCCGGTGCGGCCCGGGGCCCAGTGGGGACGGGAAGCTGCGGGTGGCCCGCGGTTTGCGGTGGACGCAGAGACACAGTGTAGCCGCGCTGCGAGCGAAACGGTCGCAGCGATTTAGAAGCCGAACAGCAGAAGGCTGCAGAGGCCGAGGCAGTTTGCCGCGCTGCGGATGGCGGCCCTGGCCGTGGACAGTGCCCGGAGCACGCGGGGCCAGGGCGAGGCTGCGAACCCTGAGGGCTGAGAGGGGACGACGTCTCTCATCCGCCCATGGCTCTGCTGCAGGACATTCCCGCCACGTCGCGAGAGGAACTTCACGAAGCTTTTGCGCTTCCCGTCCATTCTTCAACCTAAGATCCGTGCCCACTCCTCTTCAGTCAGACTCCACGAGTCATTCACCAAACATGTGATCAGTTGCTGACTGTAGTCTCAGCTAGGTCACATGCCAAGCTGAGGCTTTATTTTTCCGATGGGACTGGGATTTGAACTCAGGGCTTCACTCTTGCCAAGCGGGTGTTCTACCGTGTGAGCCACACCTCCAGTCCATTTTGCTCTGGTTATTTTGGGGAGGGGATCTCACCAACTATTTGTCTGTCTGGTCTCGAAACACGATCCTCCTAATCTCAGCCTCAAAAATAGTTGGGATTATAGGTGTAAGCCACTAGCACTCTCTTGAGGCTATTTAAATGGCACAATTATGTAATTAAATGAATTTTTGCCCTACCTTGAAAAAGTTAAGGACGTTTTTACAATTTTTCAATACTAAATGACTTTCTGAACTCTAAATAAAAATTAACACATTTAAGTCTGAAAAGATTCCCCTCTTTTGAGGCAGTGTAAATCCCACACTGTGCTAAATAGCACAGCATGTGGACACCTTTAACTCTTGGATTAGCTCTTGACACCATTTCCTTACATCTTACCTTATTTTGTGTTCCTTCAATACTGAGTTGCTTATTAGATCTCTTTAAACAGTAATCTTCACTTTAGGATTAGCCTATTTCTTCTGTGAGTTTGGCAATCTTTTCATGTCTTCAAATGAATTTCAGACATCATTGCTCTGTGAGGCCTTTCCTCACACTTCCCAAGTAGTCACTCCCTGGTCTATTTTGTTTGTCAGATACACTTAATTCCCTCCCTCCACTCCCTCCCACCCCCTGCTAGACTGAGATTCTTGATGTCAGGGACAGGCTCTTAGGCGTCCCTGCCTTCTCAGTACCCAGTCCAGAACCTAGTAAACAGTAGGCATGCTGAATGTTTAGTGGAAGAATAAATTAATGAAGGATCACTCCTTCATTTGTAGCCAAATGAATGAAGAATGACAGTTTTCTAAAAGTGCTTAAAATCAAGGTCTTCGTAGGAGTTTAAAGGTTATCTGTTCATTCTTCCCCTCATAGTCACATATTCTTAGAGGCCCAGAGGGTTTCTTCATGAGATTCAGACTGCACTACAAACCACAGGTCAGGATTTTACTCATCCTTCTTCCACTCTCTAGAGCAGTAGCTCAAGTGGTGGAGCACCTGCCTAGCAAGCATGTGGCCCTGAGTTCAAATCCCTACCACCAAAAAAAACCTTTCACACACTCTTAGTTTAAGTGTTTCATTTAATAATGGATTTCTCTTTTACTTCTGAAATCTTTTGCTAAACTTACACTCGTGGGATTTTAGATCTGTGAAAAATTTGGAGATTGTCCAGTAAATTTTATTAGTCACAACTCTAACAGAAAGCCAGACCAGGTGTAAAAAGAGGATTAAAAAAAAAAACTTCACGTAACCTAAAAGATGTAGTTAGATTTGGTCCACATGTGACTCAGATAATCTGTTTTTCTTCATCACCTGGAGCTCATTCCCTTTCATTCAGTTCTCTCTCGAGAAGCTGACATTCAGCCAACTTGGCAGCTCCAAAGAAACAGCATGTTTTTACCAGTGATCCCGGTAAAAGTCCTGGGCAGACTGACCTTGGCTTGGCTTGGCTCTTCCTCATCTTTGCATCAGTCAACTTTTCATCAGGTTAAGACCAAATTATATTCTCACCCCTGATAGTTCTTAAAGGAAATGAGTGCCTCCTTAAGGAAAGGACTTGATGTTAGGTGTATGAAACCCATATTGTCTAATCTTCCTAATTGAAGTCACTGAATAACTTATTCAAAATTGAGTCATTTCTTTGAATCCATAGGTAGTTCAGCAGATGTAAGGGTGGAAAGAGGTTTGCTTTTGTCTTTGCATAACTAAGGTTTGAACTCAGGGCCTCACACTTGCTAGGCAGGCACTCTAGCAGTTGAGCCACTCTGCCAGCCCCCAGCACACTGTCTTGACTTCACACTCTATTCACTTTCCCATTCAGACACTTCTAATTAAGATGGGTCCCTTATTAGAAAATTATTTATAGAAAATTGTTGCATTAAAATGAAAAGCTTGCTTTGAGCCCATATTTTTGCTTATACTTACTTATAAAACAGTTTGTATTCTGTTATGAACTCCAGTTTGTGTTTTTCCTATTAAACTTTGTATCTCCATTTGTTCAAATTTGTATGAACAAGTTGCATAAACTGATTATTTAATGTAGTAAAGTGTCTTAGAGATCCAAAATGTCTTGGGACCTTTCTCTTAGTTAGACTTCGATAAAGGAACACAGGAAATAAAGTAGCTGTTTTACATAGTGGTTTATCTATTTGAGCAAAACTCATGACCCAATATGATTATTGTAATCGTATTTTTTGTAAGCATCATGAACAAAGAACATTGTCTTAATGTAATGGGGTAATGAGGATTCAATGGTGTCGTTAGAGCTGGGTGCCAGTGGCTCACACCTACAATCCTAGCTACTTAGGAGGCAGAGATCAGGAGGATCGAGATTCAAAGTCAGCCTGGACAAATAGTCCAAGAGACCCTATCTCAAAAATACCCTTCAAACCCGTGGAGTGGCTTAAAGTGTAGGCCCCAAGTTCAAACCCCAGTACTGCAAAAAAAAAAAAAAAAAAAACTACAGTATCATTAGCTTGTACTTTTATCTCAGAATATGTTTTTTGTTTTTTTAACATTTGATAACTATACACCATTCTGGGGAAAACTTAATCTTGTCAACAAAACATTACAAAAAAATGATGTGTTTTGTTTTTTGGTTTTTGGGTTTTTTTTTAAAGAAAAGCACTTGAGGGCTGGTAGAATGGCTCAAGCAGTAGTGCCCCTGCCTAGCAAGTGTGAGGCCCAGTACCACCTAAAAATAAAGCACTTCATTTTGATATCATTAAAGGCTCACAGAAGTTGCAAAAACAGGGAAGACAGTCCTTCTCCCTAGCTTTCCCCAGTGATAACAGTTTATATAACCATAATAACAAAACCAGGACATTGACCCTGGTGCAATATGTTTACTAAGCTACAATCTATATTTAGATGGGGGGGGTATGTGTAGTACTGAGAAATTTTGTCACGTATATAAATTTATATAACTGCCACTCCACCATCAGAATATACATCTGCTCTGTCACCTCCAAAGAGCCCTTGTGCTACCCTTTCACAGTAAAATCCTCTTCCAGTTCTAACCCTTGACAATCACTGATCTGTCCTATATCACAACAAATTTGTCATTTCAAGCTGGGCACCAGTGTCTCACATCTGTAATCCCAGTTACTTGGGAGGCTGAGGTCAGGAGGATTGCAGTTCCAGGCCAGCTGGGGTGAATAGTTTATGAGACCCTATCTCCAAAATAACCAGAGCAATATTCGTGTAAACTTTTAAAAGAGATGAGTGATAAAGCTAACCCTTATCTGTAAGTTTTTAATTTGTATTTTTACATCCCATGTACAAAACCATTTTTTCCCAACAGTGTCGGGGTTTTTTGAGGGGTTTTTTTTTTTTTGGTTTTCTGTTTTGCATTTGGGGTTGTAAAAGAAAGAACACTATCTTTTTTTTTTTTTTTCACTTCAGTGACTTTAAGACAAATTAGTCCTAAACTCTGATGCAAAAAAAAACCAAAAAATAATAATAACCAAACCAAAATGGACCGGAGGTATGGCTCAAGCAATAGAGCACCTGCTTTGCAAGTCGGAAGCCCTGAGTTCAAACCCCAATCCCACCAAAAAAAAAAAAAAAAATTGTCATTTCAAGAGTGTGGAATAGCTGGGTGCCAGTGGTTCACACCTGTAATCTAGCTCACTCTGGAGGCAAGGATCAGGAAGATTGCAGATCGAAGCCAGTCCTGGGCAAACTGTTCTTGAGACCCTATTTCAAAAACAACCATCACAAAAAAAGGCTGGTGGAGTGACTTAAGTGGTAAGAGCACCAAGAGCACCTGCCTAGCAAGAGCACCAAGAGCACCTGCCTAGCAAGCATGAGGTAAAAAGAGTGTTATGTAGCTGAATTATAGAAAACACAGCCTTCAGGGGTTTGTGTTCAAAGTTTTCTTTATTTTGAATAAGAGCATGTGCCTGTTGAAAGGCAGTTGACTAATTTGACTCAAGATTTTGCTTTTCCCAAAACCAGGAATTGGAGACCACATGAGACTTTGAATACTACTTGATTAGAAAGACATGGCATTTTTCACACTGGCTTTTAAAATGTCAAGTGTTGCCTTCTACCATTTTGGGTTAATAGTCTACGTGATGAAGTGTCTTTATTTTCTTGCTACCCTCCTTTGGGGTTCTCACCTATCTTTAGTTTGGGATATAGGTCTGAAATACGAATTTTAGAAAAGGAGAACATTCTACTGGCCTAGAATAACCTGGGAGTGTCTACTGCTGTCGCCAGAAATGCTGCTTTATGAGTTCTGGGGTGTACCTACCCCATTAGTAATGGACAAAACTGCAGAATTTCCCAGGAGACATTGTGGTTGATGATAACAGGAAAAATCAGATGGGGAGGACCACGGCTGCCCTAGAACACTGGGAAGCTTTCTTCTTTCTCCTCTTGCTAGTCAGTGCTGGCGTGTGCTGTGGGGCCAAGCTGTGAGGGTAATGGAACACAGTTGGATTGCAGTAGCATTCTCCTTTTTTATCGGAGGGTGGGGAGGAACAGTATGGTAGGTGGGTATGTTATCACTTTGTGTGTGTCGTACTGGTCAGGGCCACACCTTGAGCCACTCCACCAGCCCTTTTTTGTGATGGGTTTTTTCAAGTTTATTCAAGCTCTTGAGAGCTACTTGCCTAGGGATGACTTCGAAGTGCGATCCTCCTGATCTCTGCCTCCTGAGTAGCTAGGAGTATAGATGTGAGTCACCAGTGCTGGCCTCTACTACTTCTTTATTAATTATCCCCCCTTTTTGTGGTGGTGCTGGGGTTTGAACTCAAAGCCTCACACTTCCTAAGCAGGTACTCTTACCACTTGAGCCACTCTGCCAGCCCTGTTATCCCTTTTGTGTTATTTTTCAAATAGTTTTTGCCTGGACGTGCCTGGACTATGATCCTCCTACGTACATGTCCCATGTAGCAAGGATAACATGTGTGCCACCACGCACAACTTTATTGGTTGAGGTAGGGTCTCCCTAACTTTTGCCAGAACTGGCCTCAAACCATGATCTTCCCTGTCTCGGCCTCCCAACCATCTAGGATTACAGGTGTGAGCCTCCATACCTGGCTGCGTTTACACTTTTTAACAATACTTCAGCTTTATTTGGACCTATTGACTGTGTCTTTATGCTGTCCTAGACCTGTTTATGACTTCTGAAAGCTCTTAAGTGTTTTAGATCCACAGCAGCTTTGTGAAAGGGACCTCATACTGGCAAAATGTTGATGTAATGTAGGTATAAGTATCATCTTAATATTTGGTCCCTAATTTTAAAGTTTCATTTTCTATTAATCCCCTAAATGTTTATTAAAACGTTAATTATTAAGAAATAATGGCCATCCTCTTCTAAGTCCCAGCACATCCCATGCAGCATTGCAGCAATGCTGCACTGTTTTGCCTGTGTGCTGAGAGAATTTCAGTACGTTAAGGACTTGAACTCAGGCCTGGGGATGGAGCCAATGATAGAGGTCATGCTTAGCTTATGCAAGACCCTGGGTTAATCCCCAGTGTCCCTCCACCCACCCACATACATACACACAAGCCACTACATAGTTTTTAAATCTAGGGCAACGTTTTCCTGACACAAGACATTTTATAAATGTCACTAGAGATTTTTAGAATGGATAACTTCCATGTTTAATTCAAGTTGTAACAATAAACCTGGGTTTTTTGAAATCACTCTTTTTTGAGACAAGGTCTTTCTGTGTAGCACAAGGCTGGCCTTAAGCTCTCAGTCCTCCTGCCTCAGCCTCTCCAGTGCTGGAATTATAGGCATAGTGGGCAGTTCTGCCAAGCCTAGACTGAAATCACTTTCTTGAGTGCAGTGATGGATTCATTAAAAAAAAAAAAAATCCCAAATGCTTAGGCCATACAAGAGCTGCATAGGAGTCAGCCCATACAGTCTTTAAGTGGCTGTGTAAGGGGTTTGGATTTTGAAATATACAGGGTACTTTGTTAGGCTCCATCTAATCTAGGGAACCCAAAAGGGCAGTCGTGTTCCCAGAATAGCTGAGTCTAGTGTCCTGCTGAGAAAACATGGTATCCAGTTCTGTGCTTGTGGATGCCTAGCAAAAAGCCCATGGTGCAGTTGTTTGTTCATGCATTTACTTCTGACTCTACCCAACTGGCAGCTCCACGTAGACGCAAACACCGTCCTGTTCATTGGTGGTGGGTCTTTAACTTGTATTTAACTGTAAATTGTTTGCTTTGTGACTACTGGATACCTGAAATTGGAGCTACTTAATTCTTGGGTAGAATACCAGTGTTTTCTGATAGCTGACTCTTGACAGACTGTGAGAAGGGGAAGGAAATAGGTGCCAGAATTGGAGCTAGGGTCTACCGGGAAAGTTTGCTGCTTTCCCGGTAATGAAGAGAAGGGTGGAAGATTTGTGACTAGCTAGCAGAAAATTAAGCAGATATGCCAGTAGCCACAGATCTGTTGCTGCTAGCCAAAACTGTAGCTGATAAAATGTGATTTGTCACAATGACCTTTTCAAAATGCAAATCTGGTCTAAAAAAGGCCTAGAACTCCTGGGGTTTCTGGCATTATTCAGCTGCCAGCCTCAATGTTCTTCTGATTTTCTTTCCCAGCCTCATCTCCATCCTGCCATCCAGCCTTCTTCCCACTGTTCTGACACTCTGTTCTTTCTCTTGCCATGGACTCTTTGAACTTACTGCTCTATCGCTTATGTGTTTTCATACTTTCGTATCAATGTAGAAGTCCCTTGAGGATACTTTCCTAATCTTTTTTTAGGTCAGAACTCACTATCATGCACTGTGTGCACCATCCAGCTTCCTTTGTGGTACTAAATGCAGTATGTTGGTTATTTGATTGCTATGTGTTGAATTCAATGAGGTCTGACACAAGACTGATCACCCTTCCTGTTGTATCTCCAGTGTTCAACCATGAGACCCAGGAGGCAGTTTTTGTTGTTTTGCTTACTTTTTTTTAATAGTAAGCATTTCTGAATGAATGAATGAATTTATTTGGGTCAGCATCCAGTTCAGCAATTTTGGGAAGAATCATTAACTCTCCAGACATTTTATTTGTTGCATCCTAAACTTTGTCCCCACTTCGTTTTTTAGGATATTACTGTCATTGGGCCTTAGTAAATGAATGTGTCTGATTCTACTTGTTTTCTTAGTTTAAGGAACTATACATACTAACAATGCCTTATACTTCTAAGAATGTCAAATATATGTTACACTTTCACGTTTAATGTGAAGCATATGGTGCTTCTGTGTTTCAGTGTTTTGTTTTACAGATTAGGTCAGAGATTCAGAGATAATGATGTATCTGAGGTTCCACAATCACTCACCAACCTGATACGGTCTCAGTTCGCCCTTTCCACTACACCACAACTGCCTTTGTTTTGTTAGTAACAATAAGTTTCAAAGTTTTTATAGAAGTTAGCTGTGTGCTTTTATGTAAGAAAGTGTGCCTTTTAATGTTCTATACTTCAATGAAATATTTAATGATTTTGTTAATATTTTGCAAGCTTTGTAAAAAAAAAAAAACCTTAAAAATATAGTTTGAGTCCTTATTTCCTTATTAGCGAGATAACAGTGGTTCTTTCTATTTTGTTTCTTTAGTCCGTGGCTCTGAAGGACTGTACATGGTGAATGGACCACCGCATTTTACTGAAAGCACAATATTTCCAAGGTATGGCTCGTTTGGGTGGAAGACATGAAGGTAATATGCAGTGCATTCTGAATTGTCTTCATTGTTCAAGAAAGGAAAAAAACCAGATAAGCTACTTTCTTGGGACATCTTATATAATAACAGAAGGTGGAAAGAATCCATAATCTTTATCAAAGAAAATGATCTTCAAATTTGGAGATGATAGCTTAAAGCTGTTTGAAAGATAGAGGGAAACAGTAGTGAGGAAAGTGTGGACATTAGTAGAGTGAGTGCAAGCCTTTAGTTTAGAAAAGATTTATCTCTGGAAAAGAGAAAAATTTGTAAACGTGATGATCAAGTCACTGCAGGTAATCTTCACAACATCAGAGAATGAAAATGGTGTAAAAAAAGGAAGGAAATAAAATATAATGTGCATAGTATGTAGCTAAATAGATGTGTTTTCCAAAAAAGAAAATGGAAGGGAACCAAAAACTAGTAAACCTGACTACTTCTAGGCGGAGACATATCTGTGAATGAACTCTGGAGTACATTTACAGTTTTGACTTTGGAGTGTGTAATTGTTGTAAATAATAAAATTGAATACTTAAAAAGGAAAGGTGAAACAAATGACCCAGCATGTAGGTGATGCATAATCATATAAAGACCTCAAAATTCTGAAATACATTCAGTAGTTTCATTGTTGACTGCAGGTCGATATCATCATTTAAATCTGTTGTACAATTAATTAATCAATGTGTTAGTTAACTTTATGTCACTGTAATCTGTTACCTAAGGGAACAGTTGCCTATTTCAGCTCATGGCTTCAGAGGTTTCAGCCCACGGTCAGTCCGGTTGGTCCCATGTACTTGGGCAGAACATCATGGCACCAGGAGCGTGTGGCAGAGGCTTCTTCACTTTATGGTGAACAGAAGCAGAGAGGAGCAGCAATAGCAACGGGTCAGGGCAAGATACAGCACCCCCAAAGCATGCCCCAGTGACCTACTTCCTGCAGTCAGGCCCAACCTTCCATAGTTCTACCATCTCCCGAGGATGTATTCAAATTTCTAATCCAACAGTGGATTAAACCCTTCTGTAGGCCAGAGCATTTATGGTGTAATCATCTCTGGAAATGCCTTCAGGGTCACTAGTGCCTTACTATCTATTTCCTAGGCATTTCTCCATCCAATCAAGTTGACAATCAAGTTTAACCTTCAATGGTTATATTAACACCACTAGGGACATTCTGAATTGTTTTTGTTGTTGGCACCTTTTTAGAAAGAAATATGTTGGTAGAGCACATCACAAAATAATAAACAACAACCAAAAAAAACACCCAAAATCCCAAAGTCTCAGAACCACCTGAAAAGTTTGTGAAACATGAAAACACAGAATGAGAATGAGACTGAGAAGAAAGTGGCACACATCCATATGAACTCATGGTTTCTCTTCGTAGCAATATTTGTAAGCTGGGCACTTGTGGCTCACACTTGTAATCCTAGCTACTTGAGAGGCTGAGATCAGGAGGATGGAGGTTTGAGGCCAGCCTGAGCAAATAGTTGTCAAAGCCCCATCTCCAAAATTGTTGTAGGACACCAATTAATTGTCTGTTGGACAGACAGGGCACCAAAGCTTTCAGGAAGCAAGTTTTTTTAAGCAGGCCAGTTTCGACTCAGCGGACTGTCCAAAGGCTGAGCCCCAAGAACAAAGAGGACTTTCCTCATATACCATTTAGAGCAGGTTACAGAAATGGGGGGGTACAGCTTGTCCCATACATGGTCACATATTATTTCATTGGCCATTTTAACCTTGGGTGAGGTGACCCTTCTCTGTTCTTGCCCCAGGTGCTACTTGACATTCCTCAAACCGGTTTTTTTGTTTGTTTGTTTCACTGTTGCACTTATTATCTCTCATCATCTCCCTCATCGTTTCTCATTATTTCCCTTCCCCCTCCTTGTCTTCCTGCCACAAAATAACCAGAGCAAAATGGACTGGAGGTGTGGCTCAAGTGGTAGAGTACCTGCTTTGCAAGTGCGAAGCCCTGAGTTCAAACCCCAGTCACAACAACAAAACCAAAATCAAAACATTTGTATTTCTTACTGAAAAGGCCAGGAAGCAGTAATGACCCAGTACTGAATAGCCCTGCCTCCCAGATCGTGATCTCCAAATACTAGTTTGAGAGAGCATTAGAGTATACTCTTTCGAATACCAGTTCTTGAAGAAGTGTTTAACTTGAGGTCTAGGGCAGAAAATGCAAGTTCAGGTAGGGACATCTCGTGCTGGAAAGCAAGGGAGCTGTAGATGGCTATCGGGGTTTGTAAAAAAGTCATAGGAGTCAGCTGAAAGAATGAAACGTGAAGTGTGTAAATAAAAATACGTTTGCCCTCTAAATGTTATTCATCAGCATTGGTTGCTGATACGGTCCTTGATTTTGCTTTGATTATTGGTAAAAGGTGAGAGTCAAGCTTTTGTCTTTTCTGTACAAACTGTACATTAGAGTAACCAAATAGTCCATGAGGGAATGTTCTTTGTAGAATTTTAGTTAATATATGCAGAAAGAATAATGAGGTGACATAGTCACTATTCGTAATCCCAAAGAAATCACAGGTGTACACCAGTGTTCTCAAGCGGTAGCCTGCGTTAGAATCATCTGAACAGGACTGGGGATGTGCTCAGTCAGTAGAGCATGTGTGGAGCCCCCAAGTGAGTCTCCACCGTTGCAAAACAACAAATAACAACCAAGCAACAAAAAGCTCACCTATGTCTCAGAACCACCTGAAAAATTTATAAAATGTGAAAACAGATTGTGGCTTCTGCCTCATATTTTCTGATTCATTAGATCAGGGCCCAGTAATTTGCATCTTTAACAAATTCCCAGGTGATAGTGGTGGGGCAAGGCTTGCACCTGACTTTCAAAGCCACCAAGACTTGCTGAAATCACTAGATTAACTGTTGATAACTGTTGATGGAGAGCTTTATGATCAGAATTACCATCAGCTGAATTTACCAACCAGAACTTATTAGGCTCAGTTCTCTAGAACCTTGGTATAGGAAATATGGATGCCATACCAGCCCTATTGGAGTCACCTGTGAACCAGTGGAGACGTGCAACATCCCAGCCCCACCCAACTTGCTGACAGAATCTGTACTTTAGCCAGATCCTCAGATGATTTACAGGTACAGTCATGTTTGAGAAGCACTACCCTAGAAAACAGTCTGCAGCAGGCAGAGTTCTGTGTTGTACCTCACTGGGATGGCAGTGAGGGGAAAAGGAAGTGAGGTGGAGGAAGAGGGCACTGAGAGACCATCTGAGTTCAGTCGTCATTCTTATAAATCGTTTGCATGATGGCTTAGAAGTGACATTTTATAATTTACACACATACATAAATCTGTGAGAAATGACTAATGTGAAAGAAAATGAAGACTTAAGTAGATCAGAGTAGGCTTTAATCATAGGCCAACACCAGGAGGAATTTAATCAGGATAACTGTAACATCCTGCCTTAAGGTTTGGGGATGAGTCACACAAGTATAGGGCAGGGACGTCTTGTTCATAGCTGTTCATGTGAGAACTAGATTTTAAAAGGTTTTGTGAACTGCAGACCATTGTGAGCCACTGCAAATGCACAAATAGCACCTTCAGTTAAATCAGTGCAGAGATGTGTCCTGCATAAGAAGGCTGTATGGTCAGTCTTGGTGCATTTGTTCTGTAGCAACTCAGGCTCGGTATTAGCACGAAGTTGTCATCTGGGGTTGTGACTACACTAATTGGCATCTCCATACACTCACAAACACAGTGCTGTTTGGGTCCTCTTCACTAAGGGTGTGTGTTGTCAAAGCAGCCATCCCAGTGCTAAAAACTTGGATTGGTCTATAGACTATTGCAGAGAGGTCAGATTTTCCACAGATGCTGTGCGACATTCTGCATCAGCATTCATTTCATGTGAAGATCCTCTTCACTGTGTGCAGTCTGTCTACACAGGAGAAATCCATGGACCACCTTTGTTCATCAAGTCTAGGGGCACTGGCCATTCCTGTTTTGCCATGCAGGTCTGGGGCACTCCTCACAGAGTCTGTGTTTAAATCCTTCAGCCATCTGAGGATCAGGGCTGACAGCTGGTAACTCACATCCAGTGACATTTTGGAGGTTTGCACCCAGACTGGTTATTCACCCAAAATGGATCCATTTCTCAAGATTTATCTCTTGGTGTAAAATCAGTTCCCAGCTTGTATTACAGTGGTTGTTGGCATTCCATTTTAAGAGAGAAAGGATTTTGGCAGACTAAAGCATTGTATAACTATTTTCTAAAGTTTGTGTAAGTCCTTAGTCATTAAATAAATAGATTGTGGACTTTATAGTCAGATTTTTTAAAGTATGAATGCCTATTAATTTAAACATTTTTTTTTGTCATTTTCAGAGAATCTGGAAAAAATTGCAAAGTCTATACCTTTAGTAAGGATGGGACCTTGTTTGCCTGGGGCAATGGAGAAAAGTTAGTATTCATTTATATAACATTGTATTTTATGTGTGTCCTGAGTATAAACATAACTGGCTTGATCTGAATAACATATTTGGGTGTTGTTAATAATATCCATCTTTTAATGGCATATGTTGTGAGACAACTTTGAACACCTTCAAAGAGGTTTCTGTATGCATGCTGTGACTTACTTGTGTTAGTGACTTAGAATTAAAAGTTAATATATAGAAGCATGATTAATTTGATACTGAAGACATTCAGAAGTTGTTTTCAATAGTGTGTAAATTATTGGTTAGGATTTCTTAATTTCTGCTTTAACACTTAGAATAATTCTCTTGGATTGTTTATCTCAGATTTAGAAACTTTTTATCTTTGCTGTAAATTAATAGCTCTGCAGTCAGTATTGCTATTAGTCCTTTTGTATGTAAAAAATATATAAATTATTCAAAGGAATGTTTATCATGATTTATATTTCATAAAATATCAGATTACAAAATTGGTCTTGCAAGAAAATAATTGTTTTGATTAAATGCTTACATTTTCCTAAGAAAACTAGGCTTTTCTCATTTTCCAAAAAGTCAATTACAATATTCTATTTCGAAGTTAAGGAAAATGTCCAAATATTTGTTGCTAGGTTTAAACTTATTTTTTAAGAGAGGAAAATGTATGCATTACTTTGAAATGTTGTTTTTAATTTTAAATGTTCTTTATAGTGGTAATATTGTATCTTCCAACTGTCAGGCAAATTGAATTAAAATGTTTGATTGGGGGGGTGTTGTTTTGTTTTGTTTTACAGTACTAGGGCTTGAACTCAGGGCCTACACTTTGAGCCACTCCCCCAGCCCTATTTTTGTGAGGGTTTTTCTTTTTGAGATAGGGTCTTACAAACTATTCCCAGCTGGTTTTGAACTGTAAAACCTCCTGATCTCTGCCTCCTGAGTAGCTGGGATTACAGGTGTGAACCATCGGCACCCATCTTAAACATGATTTTTAAAGTTAATTACTGAAGAGTGTTGGATTAGTTGATTGCCTTTTATATCTATAAGTATCTGACAAATTAGCTTTCTAATTAAACTAATCAGTTTCTTTTTTATTTTTTAAGTTATTGAATTCAGCCAATAAATTCCTCTCAAGTTATTAACAATATAGTCACGTTGTATCTTACGCACACTGGTAACAGCCTTAATCTTAGCTTCAAAGGTAGGATATTCTCAAATTTTCTTTCTTTTGAAGTAACCTATTTATTAAGGTTTAATAAACCTTAAGGTTTAATAGATATTTAAGTTTTATTTATTTAATCCATATTTTAGTTACATTGTTTGGAGTCAGCAGAAACATACTACCCAGTGATATGTTCAGGACTTCTTTTTGCTTTCTATTTGTAAGTTAGCCTGTACTCTCACCTTACTTGATCAAATCAGTCTATATTCTTATATCTCGCTTATATTCCCACTTTCCCTCCTGTTGGATTCGACTCTTAACATTTTTAGTGTGTCCCCATCTGCCTTTTTAAATGTCATGTCCACCATTTACTAGATATTTTCTGTATCAGATGCTAGTAGCATTTATTTCCCTTCAAGTGCTGTGGTCACAGTGGTACACACTGTTCAACACGAGAGAATCAGATACAAGGTGTTATTGTGGCTCAGTTTTTAGTGAAGTCAGAAATGATGATTTTTTTTCTTAACAAGAATTTAAAAAAAAAACCCTTCATTAAGCAGAAAAAGGAAAAAAGGTTCGTGTAATTTTAAATGTGTATTTATAGTAATTTACAAATAATTGTGTATATGTGTATGTTTTTAAACAGTGTGCCATAATCTCTTACCCTTACCAGCCACTGCTTATCCAAACCTTGGTGTCCTCCTCAGACCTGAGTAGAACAAAATTTCACTCAGCAATTTCTGAAATAAGATGGTATATTATTTTTTTTTACCCCAGAAAGTTTGGGGTAGCACAGAAAAGCAGGTCAGGCGGAACTGGCTTCAGAAGCTTGGCTCTGCACTTGTCAGTAGTGTGATCTTGGGCTGATGAACTCATTTGATTTTCCTGAGTCTAAATTCAACCTTTCGTAAAATAGAGATAATGACAGTCACGAGTCTTGTGAGTGTTAAGTAAGAGAATTTACAGTGGCTAGGCCACTCGATGGTGCACAGGAACCCAACATATGAACTGCTTTTCTGACATTGGTCAGTCTTATCTTTCAGAGACGGCTTTTGAGGCCTCAGAAGACATCAGAAGTCGTCTTAACTGATTTCCCCAGCTGCCACAGCTTCCACTATGCAAATGAGAAAAGCATACTTGCCATCCTGTTTGTAACTCAGCCCTTGCTTCAGCGTGATAAACTTCAGCTCTCTGCTGGGCTCTGGTGGCTCATGCCTGTAATTCTAGCTGTTCAGGAAGCAGAGATCAGGAGGATCGAGGTTCAAAGCCAGCCCCAGAGCTCTCTGCAGTTTAGCTTTGGGTAACTTTGTGTTCACTTCCAGGACATCTTGTTTCCTTTTCAGCTGAAAGTCAAATCATTCTGGAATCTTTCTGTTAATTCTGTATTATTTCCCAACACTGCCCTTATATAGGGCTTCTCTTGTGTATTTGATTTTAGTTCAGGTGTCTCCTGGATGTTTTCTAGAACTAACTGAAATTGATTTATATGAAAATGAGCATTTAGAGTGATGTGTATTTGAGAAGAGCTATGAATGTCTTGTCAGTGTTGCTCTAATATAAAATGGAATTTCATTGCTAAAGTAATTTCTTCTGAAACCAGAGTCAGTATCATCAGTGTCACTGACAAGGGACTCCTGCACTCCTTCGACCTCCCAAAGGCAGTTTGCCTGGAATTCTCACCAAAAAACACTGTCCTGGCCACATGGCAGCCTTATACAAGTAAGTATTTCCCATGAAAAAATATTCTGACAGGACCAATTTAATTTAATGGGGAAAAAAGTTTCTAACTCTAGAAGACAGTGATTAGTCCTTATAATTATAAGTGGTGTTTGTGAATATCTGTGATCAGCAGTTAGTTATATTCTCCAGATATAGCGTGTTGAAGGTGGCACTGGGGACAAGAGCCCCTTGTCCCCAGGGATTATGTCCAGGGAGTGCCCCTTCCCCACCTTGGCTAAGCACTGAGGGGGAGGTGTGATAGCAAAATGAGCATGAATTTCAGATTTGTTTCCTTCACAATTTGGTGATAGAAGGCTCGCTCTTATGGAGATCCTACCGTCTCCTCGTGATGATTTCCTCATCTTGAATACTTCAGAACTCTGCCTTGCCTCTCAGTCCTGGCACCCCGTTTCGCCAGCATCGCTAGTTGTGTGGTTGGAGCCATTCTTAAGTAAAATAAGGTCACTTGAATGTATGCACTGCATGCCCAGCAGCAATAGCCACCATGACCAAGGAGGTGCAAATGCTGCACAAGCGTCCCAGGTGTGACAGAGAGGGTGATGGCATGCAATGTGAACTGTGTGGAAGTTTCCATTTAATATTTTTTGCTGTGGTTGACTATAGAGAACTGATTCTTCAGAAAGTGAACCCACTGATGGGGGAGCTACTGTGTATAGTAAGATTGTAACTGAAGGGAAATATATAGACATAACATCTAAGAGATGCATGTGGTGTGTCAAAGAGCAGGAAACAGACTGGCTGTAGTGATGCACATCTATAATCCCAGGACTTGGGAGCAATGATCATTGGAACCATTCTGGGTTACATAACAAAAGCTGGGCAAAATCTTCTTTTTGGGATTTGTGTGTGTGTGTGAGTGTGGTACTGGGATTTGAACTCAGGGCCCTGCTCTTGCTAGGCAGTGGTTGTACCATTTGAGCCACATCCCAGCACCTTTTTGCTTCAGTTATTTTTCAGATAGACTCACTTTTTTGCCCAAAAGAAGCCTGGGATCCATCCTCTTACCTGCACCCTCTTGTGTGGTTGGGATGATGGGCGCACCATCACACCCAGCTTGTTCTTTGAAATAGGGTCTTGCTACCTGTTCTGCCTGGGCTGGTCTAGAGCTGTGCTCCTCCTATCTGTACCTCCCTGTAAGGATTACAGGCATGAGCCACTGTGCCTGGCAGGGTGTTTTATTCCTTCGAGTCATAGGCTATAATGAATCCTATTGTCCAACTAAATAAAGAGGAAATTGAGACTCGTGGATGATTTTGTGTAAGTTTTTTCATGACTTATAAGCACAACTTCCATTATTTAATCCATTTGTCTGTAATTCATATCTAATTAATAAATTTAAAAACCTCAAGTATTCTTACAGCCTGTAGCAATCAATCATTTGGTCAATCAGCTCCCATGTAATTTCAGGGCTTTAGGAAGCTGGCAAGGCAAGCTGGCTTAGGGCAGCCTCTCACTTGATCTTCATAGCGCTGCTCAAATGTCCTCTGAGGATGAAATCTTACATGTACTAGGGGACAATTACTGCAAACAAACAAATGGTTTTCATTGCAGCTTCTAAAGACGGCACGGCTGGGACGCCCAACTTGCAGCTCTACGATGTGAAAACTGGGATGTGTTTGAAATCTTTCATACAGAAAAAAATGCAGAATTGGTAAGTTCAAGCTTTAAAGCACTAAGTGTTTACACGGCAGTCTAAGATCACTATAGTGTGTTTGTCTCTCTGGTATTGGCTTTGAAAATAGGCCAAAATCTAAATGATTGAAGATTTTGCATACAAGAATGTAACAGCATAAAAACATGACCTTTATTTAGTCCTTAAAAAGAAAGGAACAATATTTTTCTTTTATATACACTGTTTAATAAAACAATCAATAACAAACTTGATATACTTATGAGTATTTTTTCTTAAACAGTAAACGCAAACTTTAACACGTTAACATGATGTTATAGTCTGTGTCTTTTTTTTATACTCTTTCTTTTTGACATAGGTGTCCATCCTGGTCAGACGACGAAATCATTTGTGCCCGAAATGTTAACAACGAAGTTCACTTCTTTGAAAACAACAATTTTAGTAAGGAAAGATTTATTAAATAATTGCATTTATTTTCAATGTATACAGTCTTCACTTGATGCATCACAGGTCGTCCTAAGTACTGTTTGTAGTAATTGTTGTTCTGTCCATTTACCTAATTATATAAGTCTAAGTCCCAGTGAAGTTTCTGTAATGCAGCGATTTTGCTTTATAATAACTTTTTTATTAGATAAAATTAAGAGTTTAGAATAGTTTTCCTGTGCTTAAATTGAAATTTCAGATTTTAAAAAATTTTTATTTTAAACACAGAAGTGGACTCCAGTTCTCATAGCCATTAGCCATTCACATGTCCAATTCTCATGTCTCTCAGTGAGCTGTGAGCCGAAGCAGGTAAATCTACCAGGAAAGAGTTCAGTGAACTGCTGAAGATTCCGGCCCTTCATTTCTTTCTTTTTTTTTTTTTTTATTGTTTTATTATTTAGGCCCTTCATTTCTAATCATGAAATATCTGGTCACTGTTCAAATGCCTAGTGACTGCAGATGTCACGATTTGTTAAGACTCAGATCCATACAAGTTACCACACTGCAGGCGTTTGATGTGTCTGTGGTTTCCCCCTACCTCTTCTTCTCCCATTGTAATTTATCATTGAAGCAAGTTTAGTTACCTTGCACATTTTCTCCTCTGAATGTTGCTTTCATAATTAACATGTAATTTAGCATGTTCATCTATAAATTACTAGTTGGATTTAGGGTTGGTTAGCTTTAGGGGTGTTTTTTGGTGGATGAGGGCAAGACTACCTTATGAGGTGGTCTTTTATCAAGAAGTCTACAACATTTGGTTGTCTTTAATTTTGTAGGTTTAGCCGATGTTAGGGTTCAATTTCTACATGCATTATTTCATTGTTATCCCCCCTTCCTTCTTACTTATTAACTGGACTACTCCTATCTGCTGTCTGGCTACGTAGTTGTACATTTATATAGAACTCCCTTTCAGTTCTAACATGAAAGTATGTGCTCTTTCTGACAGTCCTTATTGTACCTTTTAGTTTTTTCTCCTGGATTTAAAAATGTGCCCCAGTCCATCGGAGTAACTATTCTGATTGGTGCTCACCTTCCCTCCTCCTTATTCACTTAGTCTAATGACTTCTTTCCTGTAAATAAGCTGGTCCAGGACTATCTTGTACATTTCCTGATGCATACCTTGGTTCAGCAAAGAGGCAGCACTTTTTACTTAACCTTTCACCTCGAAGCTCTGTTCCATTAACCAGAGTAGCACTATTGTTAGTAACTTGGGTTGGGCTGCCTAGGCAGAGTAACAGTGAATGAATATTATCAGCCATTGTGGCTGGCATTTTGCTCATCGTTGTCATTATGTGCTTATCACATTGGCTTCACATTCTGTACTAGCAGACCAGTGCCAGTCTTTCCCATGTGATGGGCCCTAGACTCCTTCACTCAGAGGTGAAGGAGAAGAGAGCCCGTGTTTATAGAACATGTGCCATTTGCCTGGCTTTGCATTCTTAAAGTTGATGGCTGGGCGTTAGGTGGTATGGTCTTCATTTGCTCAAGCTTGCACAGTTAGTGAGTGGGTGAGTGTCTGGCTCCCAGCCCATGCCTTTTCCACTGCCTACTCTGCCTCGCCTGCGTGAGGCGACTGTGAGCAGTGCTGGTGTTGGGTACATTGTCTAATGTCTTCACAGTTTAGAGTGCTCAATTTATTGGCTTTGGTCATCATCTAACACCATTTACTCTCTTTTCTTTAGACACAATTGCAAATAAATTACATTTGCAAAAAATTAATGATTTTGTTTTATCACCTGGACCCCAGCCATACAAGGTACTTGCTGTCATTTTGTTTATATGAATTATAAGCCTTTCCCCAGACTTACCAACTGTAAAAACATGTCTATCTTAGTTTATATGCTTTAAGAATTCAGCGGTGGCTTACGTCTGTATTTTAGGTGGCTGTCTATGTTCCAGGAAGTAAAGGTGCACCTTCGTTTGTTAGATTGTATCAGTACCCCAACTTTGCTGGACCTCATGCCGCCCTAGCCAATAAAAGTTTCTTTAAAGCTGATAAAGTTACCATGCTTTGGAATAAAAAAGGTATGATAAGTATATTTTATTCCTCATCTCGTTTATCAAGTGCTTGTTTAGACTTTGTCCTAGATGTTTTTAAAAATATTTAAATTGAGTGTTGACCTAATTAAAGTCTTTGCCATTCCAGCTACTGCTGTGCTGGTAATAGCTAGCACAGAAGTCGACAAGACAGGAGCTTCCTACTATGGAGAGCAAACCCTGCACTACATCGCCACAAACGGAGAGAGTGCCGTGGTACAGCTGCGTGAGTGCATCAGCAGGCTGCCTATGGGAAAGTCAGGGCCTCAAAAGGAAGTGTGCCAAGAGGATGGTCAAGTGACCAAACTCACATGCTTGAGAGTGGCAAGATAAAATTCCTCTAAAGAGGCTTAAAACCATCTTCAAACGCACCCTGTCCTGACAGAATCTGACCCTTAATCTGAGTTACGCCAGCACTTGGTAGTACAAAAGACTTCCCATTGTGGGAGTTCTTTGAGGACATGTTGAGCTGATTGTGATCTAGTGAGTTGGGTGTCACCTTCAGATCCAAGAGCATTCCCACTCCATTCTTGTTTAAGAGTTTTAAAATACTAGCAGCACAGTATAAACAATGGCCACTTAAACAAAGGTAACGGAAGGAAAGGTTCCCTGCACAGCAACCAAAATAAAAACACATACGCCTATGGGAAGAAAACTTTCAAATTCTGTAGGGGGCCAAATGACTAACTTTAGTAAGAGTTTACATTTAAATCCCATGGAGTTTAAATTAGATTAACTGGTTCTAAAGTTAACATTGAACACTGAACATATACAAGAATATTCTGAAAATGTTTCTAAGAGGAGCATGGCACGGAGTTTTGAAGTTCTCAGACTACTAGATATTTTATTTACTTACTTTTTTTGGCAGTACTGGGGTTTGAACTCAGGGCATCACGCTTGCTAGGCAGGCACAAGGGAGCAGTATGAGAAAAGATGAATATTCTTAATGTATCAAGTAAACCAAGTAAAAATCCAGTCAGTAACTGGACAGAAATTAGGCACAGAACAGTAAAAGTCAATCTGCAGACAAGAGGTGAGATTATGTTAAGAATGTAAACAAGGAGGTACACATCCCACACACTGAATTCAGGGCCTCTACCACTTGAGCCAGATTTTCAGAAAGGGCCTTGTATCAACTTTGCCTGGGCTGGCCTCAGACCCCAATCTTGCTGTGTCTCCCTCCCAGGTAGCTAGGATTACGGGTAGGAACCACCACACCCAGCCCAAGATACACATTTTGACATAATAGATTGTCAAAGATAACAATATAAAACCCTAGAGCATGAGAGTGAGGGGAACCTGTACCACCAGAACTGTTGATAGGCATGTGAGTCGGTATACCTCTTTAAAGGGCATTTTGGTGGCATATTACCAACTACATATACACGCCCTTTGACCTTGCAGTTGCACTCCTACAAATAGATTTGTGTGCACGTCAGTGGAGAAACACGCAGCACAGTGCAGCTGAGGAAGTGTGTGGCAGGTCTTAACGTACCTGTGCTGAAACTCTCCACACTACAGAGCTAAGTGGAACAGTAGAGATGGAGGGCTTGTTCATGCATGTAAGATGCTTCAGCTCAACAGAAATATTCCAAAAAGATGTGCAACAAACACAACGGCTGCCTCTGTCTGGGCACTTGTTTCTGTGGCATGTTTGTATTTTTATTGCCATGTGTATATCTTGCCATTCCAGACAATATTTGTAGGGGCATGGCAGCATGCTTCTGTGTCCTTGTCCTGGCACTTGGGAGGCTGAGGCCAGCAGAGTGTTCACTCAGGAGTTTAAGACCAGCCTGAGTAACATGTGACCCCCTCCCCCATCCCAAAACAATGGTTTTTTGCTGGGCATTGGTGGCTCACCTATGTAATCCTAGCTACTTGGGAGGCTGAGATTGTGAGGATCATGGTTCAGCCAGCCCAGGGAAATAGTTGAAGTGACCCCATCTCCAAACCAACCAGAGCAAAGAGCACTAGAGGAGTGCCTCAAGTGGTAGAGCGCCTGCTTTCAAGTGTGAAGCTGAGTTCACACCCCAGTCCCATCAAAAAAAAAAAAAAAAAGTTTTTGTTTTTAATTAGTGGTAATCAACTATCACTATAAGTCCTATAGGTTCCCATGAGCCCACCGTGCCAAGTGTTTAAATAACCAAGATTCAGCAGAAGTTCTTAAATGCATTTATTGTCTCCATGGTACATCATGTGAGAATTTTTTAATTTTAATATGCCTTGAAATTTTTAAGGTTTTTACTATGCAACATATTCATGACTGCTATATATTTGTAATGTGTTCTGATAAATATTATATTCATATAATTCTTTATTGCTAATTTGGATGCTGTTTTCTTTCTCTAGCAAAAAATGGCCCCATTTATGATGTAGTCTGGAACTCCAGTTCCACTGAGTTTTGTGCTGTTTATGGTTTTATGCCTGCCAAAGCGACGATTTTCAACTTGAAGTGTGATCCTGTGTTTGACTTTGGAACCGGGCCTCGCAACGCAGCCTTCTACAGCCCCCAGGGGCAGATCTTGGTCCTGGCTGGATTCGGCAACCTGCGGGGACAGATGGAAGTGTGGGATGTCAGGAACTACAAACTCATCTCCAAGCCCGTGGCTTCCGATTCCACACACTTCGCCTGGTGCCCGGATGGTGAGCACATCCTGACAGCCACGTGTGCTCCCCGACTGCGGGTCAACAATGGCTACAAGATTTGGCACTACACAGGCTCCATCTTGCACAAGTACGATGTGCCATCAAATGGAGAATTGTGGCAGGTTTCTTGGCAGCCGTTTTTGGAAGGAATATTTCCAGCAAAAGCAATAACCTACCAAGCTGTCCCCAGTGAAGTCCCCAGTGAGGAACCCAAAGCTGCAACAGCGTACAGACCCCCTGCTTTGAGAAATAAGCCTGTGACCAACTCCAAGCTCGTAAGTAACATTTCACTGCCGTGGTGAGAAGAGCTTTCCTCCGGGGGCGTTCTTTAGACCTTGTTCTTATGTGCTTGTGTTGCTTGGTTTCTCATTAGGATCACTGAGGCTCTCCTGCTAAAGGCACTGACTGCTCATATCATTAAGCTGACAAGTTAATATGAAAGGATTCACGTTTTTAAATGTCTGAGGAAATAACTGAGTAAGACTCACTAGCTTTGTAGATCAAGGGCAAGCTGGTATGGAAGGTGCTAGTGAGTAGGAGAGGGTAACACATGGGAACACTTGGGTCCCTCCAAAGGCTGTGGCAGCTACATATGGGCGCCGACAGCTGGTTCTTTGCCTGGGAAGTTTAGGTGCAGTTTGCCAAAGAGCTTGATTTTTCGAGGCAAAATGGATCTGGATTTGTCTGTGGTGTTTCTCAAATTTAAAAACAATATTGTTTAAACAAAACAGCATTTCACCACCTTTCCGATGATGTTATGACTAGAGTATCAGTTAGATTCTAACATGGTTTAGAAATGTTAGCATTTCAGCCAGGGATGGTAGTACTTAGGTGTAAAGTCAGCACTCAGGTGGTGGAGGCAGGAGGATCTCACATTCAAAACCATACCTTGTCTCAACAAACAAAACAGGGCTGGCAGAGAGGCTTCAGTGGTAGAGTGCCTGCCTAGCAAGCATGAGACCCTGAGTGCCACCAAAAACAATAACAACAAAAGTTAACATTCATAGCTCAGGGAAGAGCACTGATTAGCGCCTGGCTTTCTGTGACAGTGTTAATAAATAAAAGTGCTCCAACAATGAGCAGCAGTGTTATTGATGACCTTGAAAAAGCTGTGAGCTGGGGCCGTTCCAAGCGAAAGAGGTTGTGAGGTCACTTAACGACTAGGCGCTCAGGAAAGTACATGTTTTTCCAAAGGATAAATATTGTATCCTCTCCTCACTGCCACAGAAATTAAAGAACAACACTTTCTTCTTCACTAAGCAAAATGTTGGGAACTTCTGTTCTATTGAAATGTTCTATTTGAACAGTGCTTAATCTTCTCATCTCTGATTTTGTGAGGAATTGTGTCAAGAAACAAGTGCGACAGCTTGGTTACTGTTGATGAGACTCAGATCAAAGAGAGCTCAGAAGAAGCTGTTGTTAGTGTCCAGTTTTATAAGAATTGTGTGTTTCTAGTAGTACAAGAAACATTCCAGATTTGCTGGCTCTTCTATAACTAACAGATAACGGAAGACCCTCATTAAATATGTCCGACAGTTGGAAGTGTGCTGCTGCTAATAAGAACACTTGAAGTGTTCCTTGCCAGTGATCTTAAAATAACCTTGAGAACAAAATTTGTCCTAAACTAGCAAGTGTACAATTTGTTATTGCGTGTGCTTTTTGAAACTTGCCTCTATTTTAGTGTTGTTTATTTTACATTTCCATAGCATGAAGAGGAACCACCCCAGAATATGAAACCACATCCAGGGAACGATAAACCGTTATCCAAAACAGCCCTTAAAAATCAAAGGAAGCATGAAGCAAAGAAAGCTGCGAAGCAGGTGTCTGGATATCTGGAGGACCAACCTCCTTAAAACGGAATAAACAAAAAGCCGGTTCATTTAGCTTTTACCTACCTAAGGTTTCACAAACCTTAACAAGCTGTGTTCTAATGAAGTGTGGTTGGAGGTGGACTTGAATAGCCAGGATGTCTCTTTTCTGTTTGCCTGTGACTTCCTAAGTAATCAGTATAAGACTGACTGTTCGTTCCCATCAGTACGATGAAGTTCTGGGGATAATCAGCTTAGAAAGAGGTTTATCTGACTCACGGGTTTGGAGGCTCTAGTCCATGGTTGTTTGGCCCTGTTTCCCTGGTACCGTGGCAGCCAGCACGTGAGGGTAGAGCATGAGGGAAGCAAAACCACTCATCACGAGTAGCACTACCCTAGGGCCTTTGCAGGTACAGGCAACATTTAAACCACAGGAGTGACAAAGGAAACATTAAAACCTGAGATCCCAGTGGGATTCAATAGTGTGTTCCTTATTGTGGAACCTGTGTGAAGTGGTGTCGTTTGCTTTCTTTTAAAGCATGTATTTATTAAGAGAGACTGGAAATTACATGACTATAAAATTATGTTGTCACTCAATATATTGCTATGTGAATACAGCTGAGAGTCTAAATAACAAAAGTACACAGCGAAATTGTTGTAAAATAATATTTGTTCATATAGTTGAGAAAACACAGCAGCGTGACAGTTGACAGATAATTGTGATCCTGCATGGCTCATGATGACAGGTGATCAGCTGGGCTGAGAATGGCTGGTTATTGAAGTTGTGGTAACCCCTTTTTTGAAATTCAGGCAGAGTGAGTACCTTAGTCTGTTCAGATACTGCAACAAAATACTTTAGATTGACTAATTGTTTTTTGTTTTATTTTATTTTTTGCAGTAAAGTGAGAGTGTTTCTTGGGATAGGAAGATAGAAAAGAGTAGAGCCACAGAGCTGGGAGGGTTCCCAAAAGAGGGTTGCCCTAGACTGGGTAATTTTTAAGGAACAGAAATCTATTTCATACCGTTCTGGAGCCCCAAGGTAGGGTGCCTAGAGATTAATGTTTGCTGTTTCTCAGTGACACTGCCTTGTATGTTCTTCACTTGGTGGAGGGGGCAAGGGAGGTCCCTTGAGCCTCTTTTGTAAGGATACTAATCCCATGCATGTGCAGCACTCGTGGCTAGGTGGTTTCCCGAAGTCCCCTCCCCATCGCATCACATCAGTCTCCAGTTCCAGCATCCAGACCACAGCAGTGGCACCTGGAGAATATCCAAAAGCTTGTAGTGCTGTTGACTGGTACAGAGCCTCCAAGTTTACTCAACAATATGAGACTATGTAGCATACCTCATGAGACCTTTAATTCAGACATTTGGCTTCTATATTTTATGTATCAAGACAATGTTGATTGAAATACTTTAAATAATTAAAGTTTTTAAAATACTTCCTTCAGGGAGCAAGGAGTGACACGAGTCCACATTTGGCACCTACTCCTGCCCCACAGAGCACACCACGCAACCCTGTCATCCCGTCAACTTCTGGTGACCCTGAAGTAGACAAAAAAATTAAGAACCTAAAGAAGGTGAGCCGTAAATGAAGCATGGATTTGTATATTGGAAGAGGTACACGAGAATTATATCAAGAGGAACGGTACTTAGTATTTCCTTAGATACCCATGCAGTAGCAGGCAGCAAATATTTTATTCCAGCTTTGAAGATAAAGCAGGTAGAAAAACAAGTTTACTAACTTGCCAGATCGCACCCAGTGTGTGGCAACCCTGCATAAACCAGGGCTCCAGAGCTGCGTGTGGGGTTTCTCTTGGAGCCAGAGACATTGTCCAGGTGCAATGAGGTGTTCAAACAAATGCTGAAATAATCTACCCTAGCACTGTAAATGCCTTTCCTGGTAGAAATGTGAGAGACTTAATTCTCTTTACTCAGGTTTCATGTTCAGATGACAGTTGTTAATAAGAAAATTTGCATTAGAACGAGACTCCCTTCCTTCCTCTTGACTGAGATTTCTTGTTCACAGAAACTGAAGGCCATTGAGCAGCTGAAGGAACAAGCCACAGCTGGGAAACAGCTGGAGAAAAACCAGGTATTTCCTGCAGTTTTCACGTGGGCTCCTCGGCCTGCTTCTTACATAAGCAGCTTTCTGATCAAGAGAAGGAGTATGTAGATTTAAGATAATTGTTTTGAAACTGTGTACCATGTGTTTTTAATACTTTTACAGTTTTTCATGGGGAGATATGTGAGGGATTTTTTCGAGATAGGGTCTGGCAAACTATTTGCCCAGGCTGGCTTCGAACCTTGATCCTCCTGATTTCTGTCTCCTGAGTAGTACAGCCATAAACCACCAGTGCTGGGCACATTAGAATGTTTCTAATCTGGTTTTTTTGGTTTTTTGGGGGGTTTTTTTTGCAGTACTCAGGGCCTTCACCTTGAGCCACTCCACCAGCCCTATTTTTGTGAAGGTTTTTTCGAGATACGGTCTCTCTAACTATTTGCCCTGGCTGGCTTTGAACCGCAGTCCTCCTGATCTCTGCCTCTTGAGTAGCTAGGATTACAGGCATGAGCCACCGGTGCAAGGCTTCTAATCTGTATTTTGTTTGTTTGTTTGTTTTTGGTGGTACCAGGGTTTGAACTCAGGGACGCTCTAACACTTGAGCCACTCTACCAGCCTAATCTGCATTTTTGAATCTGTGTCTAACAGTGGGTCTGATAAAGTGTAAGAAATACTTTAGTAAGTTTTTTTTCCTATACTGTTTCATTTACAGGTCTAATAATTACTTCATTTCCTATTTAATAATTTCATTGTTTTAAACCTTTCTAGTTGGAGAAAATTCAAAAAGAGACAGCCCTTCTCCAGGAGCTGGAAGATTTGGAGCTGGGTATTTGAACATTCCCAGAAAGCCAGCTGGTCACCAGAAAGAAATCAGTGCGAACACCTCTTCCTGTGAGCCTTGCAGGGGTGTTCATGGAACATCCACGCACCCTCGTTTAATTTGCCCAGGATTCTGCACATGTGGAGTTATTTAATTATGTCTATTAAACTGACATTTACACCTCCTCCTGTATCACGTCAGTATGTCACAACGAAAAGGGTTCATGAATTTTTCAGCTAAGCTTGTTTAGTAGGGACAGTATTTACTTTATAAATGAATAAAGGACATTTTACATTTATGTTTTTGCCTTAAGTTTGTCCTTACAGTTCATGCCCAAGAAGAAGAAGCAGGAACCAGTCATTTACTGGTCTCCTCACATGCCCTGGTCACCTTGCCTAATGGCCAGCTGAAGGAGCCTTGGTGGAGGGGACATTACAGGAGGGTGGGGACATCCCTTGAGGGCATGGCAGCAGCTCAGCCCACAGGAGCCCCAGGTGGCCAGACTCCCCAGCTGTCACCTGAGCCTCTGTCCCCGGCTGGAGCTCCAGCCAGAGCACTTGGGTGCTGACAGCGAGCTGGTCTTGCCATGCAGGACCCTGTCCACGCGGGGCTCCTGTCCCTGCGAGACCCTGTCCCGGGGCCCTGGGCTCATGGGTGACCGACTCTCAGCAGCCTCACCCTGAACCTGGGCCTCTCCTCCGCCCTGGCCTCGCAGCCCTCAGCCTCCATAGCTGGTCTGGTCTCAGTGCCCTGTGGGACCCGGAGGACACATGGGAGCCGGCATCACCTTGGCTAGTTGCAGAGCTGCTCGCCATGTCGCCTGCAGACACCAGGGTTGGGCAGGTTTGTGCCTTGAGGTTTGCTTCCCATTAATGGAGAGGGCCAGTGACACCTGTTAGTCAGTCAACAATCTTCCTCAGGGAGTTAATTCTCTCTTGATGATAAATGTTCCTCAGATGCTGAAGAAGTTTGTCAGTTAACTTCTTTATTAATTTACAAGGCATTTAGTTTTCACAAGACTATGAGGTAGATGCTATTATAATCTATTTCATAAATTAAGAAACCTGACAAAGTCACAAAGCTAAGAAACAAGAGTTGAACTCAGTGGCCTCGGGAGCTGGGTGAGATGCTGCTGAGGTGTCCTGGGCACTCAGAAGGGACTGCCTGGTCACTGTCTGCACAGACCAGCTTTGATGGCCACTGCCACGTCACCTCGTCCAAGCTTTGTACTTCACTTGTAAAGTTTTCCACTCCCACCAAGCCAGAGTTTACAGCTTGGCCTCTTGCCAAGGTGGGAAGGGGGGGTGACGCTCTGTTACTGCTGTGTACTTTTTATTAGGCATGTGCTGTGTGCTTTTCTGCCATTGACAGTTTGCATTTCTTTTGTGACTTGGTTTTGCTTTGCCTTCAGCCATTTCTGTTTACTTTCTTGGTTTGTATGAGTGTCACATGTAGTAACATATGACATCCTTTTTCTAAAAAACAGTTTTTGTTCAAGCAGTGCAAAAAGGTGTACAATGAAAAGCAAGGCTGCTCCCTGCATTCTAGAGCAACAATTGCCAATTTCCTGTGTTTGTAAAGATAGCTAGCATGGATATATTCAAAGATACATGCACAAGTGGGAAATACACAATTTTTTTTTGGTGGTGCTGGGGTTTGAACTCATGCTTGCTTAGTGCTCTACCAGCCCACATACACATACATTTTTTAAAGAAATTAGGAAAACAATCTCATTTCTCATTTTAAAAAGACCAAAAATACCTAAGAATAAAATAAGGATGTGAAAAGACCTCTACAATGAAAACTATGAAACATTGAAGAAGGTACCAGAAGATCAAATCCATCTTCATGAATTGGAAGAACTAATGCTGTAAAAATGGCTATACATTCAAAGCGATCTATAGATTGGATGCACTCCCCATCAAAATTCCAAAGTCAACCTTTATAGCAATAGAGAAGTCAGTCCAAATGTTCATATGGAATCATAAAAGACCCCAAAGAGCCAAAGTAATCCTGAGCAAATGGAACAACGCTGGAGGTGTCACAACACCTGACTTAGACTACACTACAGAGCCATAGTTTAAAAAAAACACAAAAACAACTGACACAAAACAGACTTGTGGACCCATGGAAAAGAACAGCAGATCCACAGAGCTACAACCATCTGATTTGTGACAATGGCACCAAAAACATGTTGGAGAAAAGATAGTCTCTTCAACAAATGGTCTTGGGAAAACTGAATTCCAGTCTTTCATGTTGTTAAAAAGTCAATTCCAAGTGGATCAAAGTATTAATGTAAGACCTGGAACTAAACTGACAACAGGAAGACACTTGAAGACCTAGGTACTTTCTACATAGGACTCCCATAGCTCAGTAGCTAGGAGCAAGAATTGACAGATGGGATTGCATCAAGTAAAAGGCTTCTGTACTCCAAGGAAACAACTACCAGGGTGAAGAGAGCCTACAGAATGGGAGAGAAATCTTTGCAAGCTATTCTTCTGGCAAATTACTCACGTCCAGAATATATAAAGTGCTCCAAAAATTAAACACCAAAAGAATAATTTAATAAATGGGCAAATGAATTGAACAGATAGTGCTAAGACGAAACACAAATGGCTAGTGAATAAATACAGGTGTATTTACTCAAGGATGTTCACCATCCTTAGACATAAAAGAAATGCAGAGCGAAAGAACACTGGGGCTCCATCTCCAGTCAGCACGGCTGCATCAAGAAGGCAAACAACGACACAAATTGGCGAGGATGGGTGGGGGATGGGGAAAGGAGCCCTTATTGTGGGATATAAATTAATGCACCTACTATGGATATCCGTGTGGAAGCTCCTTGATAAACTAAAACCAGACCTATCATGCATGATCCTGCTATCCCACTCATGCATGTATGTACCCAAAGGAATGTGAGCGAGCACACAACAGAGATCTTCACACCCGGGTTTACAGCAGCCGTCTTCACAAGAGCCATGCTATGGAATCAGCCTAAGTGCCCAAGAAGCAATGGATGGATAGAGCAAATGTGGTAATAAACACATGGATATTACTCAGAGGAATGAAATTAGGTCATTTTCAGGAAAATGAATGAACTGGAAAGGATCGTGTTGAATGAGATAAGCCAGACTGAGACAGACAAGTTTCACATGTTTGTGCATATTTGAGATCTAAACCTTGTGACGATGGTGATGATGGTGTGACGTAATTGTGGAAGGGAACTCTGGGGAAAGGACAGGGTGACGGAGTGAGTATGACCAAAGTGAATATATGTATCTATGAAAATAGCATAATGAAACTAAAATCTGTTACAAAGAGGGACAGAAGGGGTAAGATGTAAAATAGATTTGGTGAATGAATCAAAACACGTGTGTTTGGAACTATCACAATGAAACCCCTTTGTGGAATTAATTAATGCTAATAAGTCTTTTGGTAGCACTGGAGTTTGAACTCAGAGCCTAATGCTTGCTAGGCAGGCACTCTACTGCTTGAGCCACTCCTCCAGCCATTAGCAAAAAACATTTTTAAGGAAATAAGGCAGCAGGTTGGATTGGTTTTATTCAGATTGAACCATTTAAAAATCTATTGCTCAAAAATTTAATGGAAGTCATGAGCTACCCTCCCACTTCAGACAAGCTACTATATCACTATTTTAAAACTATATTGGGCATTTCCTTAATTTCTCCCCCCACCAAATAAAAAGTAGGACACATAAGCACCAGGACTGACTTCATGTCAGAATTTTTTTTTCTTTCTTTTTTTTTTGGTGGTACTGAAGTTTGAACTCGGCATCATGCCTGTGAGGCAGGCACTCACTCTACCACTTGAGCCACTCTGCCAGCCCCCGTGTCAGCAATTCTGGAATGTTTGTGTTGTAATCCAAAAAATGTGAACAAAAGTTAGGTGTTAAGTTTTTCAGAAGTGAGTTTTAAATTGAACATTTTTTCTTGGCTTTTTCACTCTCTACCTAATAGCACATTCCAGGGCATGATTCAAATGGTTGAGCTCTTGTCTAGCAAGTGCAAGGCCCTGAGTTCAAACTCCAGTAATGCCAAACACATACATACAAATACATATGAAAATACATATATATAAAATTAATAGGCACACACATACATACATGTAAGATCTGCGAAGATCCAATCCACTAACAGCCATCGCTGAGAGTGTAACCTCTTCCATCATCAGTGGCCAAGTCAGTCACAGGCCACAGGAGCAAGACTCCCACTCATGGATGGTCCTGTTACTGTGGTGGTAGATGGTGTGGGAGCTCCATAGTTTCCAACGTAAATGTCTTCTTCCTCCTTTTGGAGTGGAGCTTTCTTTTAGGTTTTAGAACTTTGAAGGGGCGCCTCACCTGCCGCCCAGTGCTGTCTTCGTAAGGCGGCTTGCAGACGAACTTGCTGCTCATTGCTGGAGGAAAGCCCAGGTCTGGCGTCGCGCAGCCAGGCTCTCATCAGATGCTGGCTTGGTGCACCACTGGGGTCCAGGAGCCTTTCCGGGGCTCACCAGCTTCCACCTTCACTATTGCCCTGGCAGGCTGTGACAATGACAGCTATTATGGTTTCAGCTACTTCCTGTTTTCTAGAGTTTTTACACTTTCTGGACCCCTGGTCCTTCCTGTGTTGCCATGGACTTATTTCCTGAGATCCTAAGAAGAGAGAGAGAAAGGCAAAAGCATCTATTTCTTCATTCTGCTGTCATCACTTGCAAGTCAAAAAAGCACGATTTGTCTTTTGCAGTACAGGGGTTTGAACTCAGGGCCTCACACTTTCTAGCAGGCACTCTACCACTTGAGCCACTCCACCAGTCCTGTTTTATGTTGGGAATTTTTGAGAAAAGGTCTCACAAGCTATTTGCCTGGACTGGCTTCAAACCACGATCTTTTTGTGATCTCTGCCTCCTGAGTAGCTAGGATTATAGGTGTGAGCTACCCATGCTTGGCTAAAAACACACAGACTTCTGAAGATTTTTAAAAATATTTCATATATATTTTAAATGAATTTGAAAATAAGAGCATTTTATTCAAAATTCCTCATGTGACCATTAGAGGGCTCCAACAATTGGCATATAAGGGAAATTAATCCACTGTTAGAGAGGTTAGAAAGAATTTGAAAAAATGTGTTCACTCGCTGAAAACACTACGTAGTAGGCCAGTTCCTGTTCTTTCTTTCCTCGCCGTCAAGCTTCCTTGAATTAGTCCTTTTTTAGAAAGACTCTGCCAGTCAGACCTAATCCCCCCTTCCCCTAAACTCATTCTAAAACAACTATTTACAA